TCACCTTTTTTCCCCCATTAGCCCCTCCTCTCTCCCCTCTGATCACTGTCAGCCTGTTCTCAATATCAGTGTCTTTGGCTATACTTGCTTGTTTGTTCCTTTTGTTGATTAGGTTTCTCCTAATGGTGAGATCCTATGGTATTTGTCTTTCACTGCCTGGTTTACTTCACTTAGCATAATGCTCCCCAGTTCCATCCATGCTGTCACAAAGGGTAGGACCTCCATCTTTTTTTCTGCTGCATAGAAGTCCATTATGTAAATGTACCATAGTTTTTTGATCCATTCATTTACTGGTGGGCACTTGGTTTGCTTCCATCACTTGGCTATTGGAAATTGTGCTGCTATGAACATTGGGGTGCATAGGTCCTTTTGGATTGGTATTTCAGGGTTCTTAGGATATAATCCTAGCAGTGGAATTGCCAGGTCAAAAGGCAGCTCCATTTTTAGTTTTCTGAGAAAGTTCCATACTGTTTTCCATAGTGGTTGTACCAGTCTGCAATCCCACCAACAGTGCACAAGGTTTCCCTTTTTTCCTCAGCCTCTCCAACACTTGTTGCTTGTTGCTTTGTTTATGATGACCATTCTGACTGGTGTGAAGTGGTATCTCATCGTGGTTTTAATTTGCATCTCTCTGATGGCTAGTGATGCTGAGAATCTTGTCATATGTCTCTGGGCCCTCTGTATGTCCTTCTTGGAGAAGTGTCTGTTCAAGTCCTTTGCCCATTTTATAATTGTGTTGTTTGTATTCCTAGAGAGGAATCGTGTGAGTTCTTTATATATTTTGAAGATTAAACCCTTGTGTGAGATATCATTGGCAAATATTTTTGCCCATACAGTTGGCTCTCTTTTCATTTTAATGCTGTTTTCTTTAGCCATTCAGAAGCTTTTTATTTTGATGAGATCCTATTTGTTTATTCTTTCCTTTATGTTCCTTACTCTAGGGGACATATCAGTGAAAATATTACTGCATGGAATATCTGAGATTTTCCTGCCTATGCTCTCCTGAAGGACTTTAATGGTGTCATGGCTTACATTTAAACCTTTTATCCACCTTGGATTTATTTTGGGTATATAGTAGGTTGCTGATCAAAGTTCAATTTTTTGCATGTAGCTGTCCAGTTCTCCCAACACAATTTATTGAAGAGACTATTTTTAGTCCATTTTATGCTTCTGCCCCCTTTGTCAAATATTAATTGACCATGGAGATTTGGGTTTGTTTGTTTCTGGGCTCTCTGTTCTGTTCCATTGATCTATGTGTCAGTTCTTATGCCAGTACAAGACTGTTTTGGTTACCATGCCATTGTAATGTAGTTTAAAATTAGGTATTTTGATCCCTCCTACTTTGTTGTTCTTTCTCAGAATAGCTGTAGCTATTCAGGGTCATCTATGGTTCCATATAAATTTTTGAAATGTTTGTTCTGTATCTGTGAAATATGTCATTCATAGTTTTAATATGGATTGCACTGAATCTATAAATTGCTTTGTGTTGTATGGACGTTTTGATGATAATTCTTCCTATCCATGAACACAGTATATGCTTCCATTTATTTGTGTCTTCCTTAATTTCTTTCTTCAGTGTTGTGTGGTTTTCTGAGAACAGTATTATACGTCCTTGGTTAGGTTTATTCCTAGGTATTTTATTTTTCTTTTTGCTGTAGCAAATGGAGTTGTTTTTATTTCCTAATTTCTGTTTCTAATATTTCATTGTTGGTGCACAAAAAATGCCTTTGATTTCTAAATGTTGACTTTGTATCCCACCATTTTGCCAGATTCATTTATGAGGTTGAGCCTTTTTTTGGTAGAGTCTGTAGGGTTTTCTATGTGCACTCTCATGTCATCTGCAAACAATGACAGTTTTGCTTCCTCATTTCCAATTTGGTTGCCTTTCATTTCTTTTTCTCATCTGATCACTGTGGCTAGGACTTCCATACTATGTTGAATAGAAGTGGTGAAAGCAGACACCCTTGTCTTGTTCCTGATCTTAGTGGGAAAGCTTTTAAGTTTGCATGTTCATTATGATGTTGGCTGTAGGTTTCTTGTCTATAGCCTTTATTATGTTGAGATACGCTCCCTCTACTCTCACTTTGCTGAGTGTTTTTGTCACAAATGGTTGCTGTACCTTATCAAATGCTTTTTTCTGCATCTATTCATATGATCATGTGATTTTTGTCTTTCTTTTTGGTTATGCGATGTATTATATTTATTGATTTGTGAATATTGTACTATCCTTGCATCCCTGGAATGAATATCACTTGATCATGGTGTATAATCTTTTCAGTGTATTTCTGTATGTGGTTTTCCAGTATTTTGTTGGGGATTTTAGCATCTATGTTCATCAGCGATATTGGCCTGTAGTTTTTTCTCTTTGTTGTGTTGTCATCTGGTTTTAGGATTTGGGTGATGCTGGCCTCAGAAAAAGAGTTTGGCAGTCTTCCATCTTCTTGGATTATTTAGAATAGTCTCTGAAGCAAAAGGGTTAGCTCTTCCTAAAATGTTTTGTAAAATTCTCTTGTGAAACCATCCAGTCCAGGGCTTTTGAATGCTGGGAGCTCTTTGATTATTGCTTCAATTTCACTGGTTATTATTGGTTTGTTCAGGCTGTCTGCTTCTTCTTCATTTGGTTTTAGAAAATTATATTTTCTAGAGATTTGTCCATTTCATCTAGGTTTTCCAATTTCTTGGCATAGTGTTGTTTACAGTAATTCCTTACAATCCTTTCTATTTCTGTGGGATCAGTTGTAATTTCTTCTCTTTTGTTTCTGATTTATTTATTTGGGTCCTTTCTCTTTTTTCCTTGATGATTCAGGTTAAAGGCTCATTGATTTTGTTTCTCTTTTCAAAGAACCAACTGTTGTATGTATTGATCCTTAGGATTGTTCTTTTATCTCTATGTCATTGAATTTGTCTCTGATTTTTATTATATGCTTCCTTATACTCACTCTGGGCTTTATTTGTTGTTGTTCCTCCAGTTCTTATAGATCAGGGATGCCAAACTCATTTTCACTGGGACCATATCAGCCTCACTGTTGCCTTCAAAGTGTAATTTTAGAGCCGTATAAATGTACCTACTCCTTAACTAGGAGAAAAGAGCTCTACATTCAGCCCTTTGAAGACAACCATGAGGCTGATGTGGCCCCTGGTGAAAATGAGTTTGACACCCCTGTTGTAAATGTTCAAGTCAGTTCATTTCACCTCAGGTTCCTCATCTTCTAGTTGAGCAAATTGTAGCTTGGAGGGAGCAGAGCCATTCTTCAAACCCAACCTCTCGGCTTCATTGCCACAATGAGGGTCAGTCCCTCACAGGCCTTCCCCTTTAGATGAAGACATACTGACAATTGAAGAATGACCTAGCAAGTGTAGCAAGGGTACAGAAGCTCAAGAAGTCAGGGTGAGGGCACCATTCTGGATGAGGGGCTGTCATGAGTAGCTTCTCAGGGGACATGGCTTCAAAGCAGTTGCCTGAAGAGTTAGCTGAACAAGAGGAGATGGTGCAGAATATTCCAGCCAGAGGGTAGAGCCTGGAGGAAAGTCCTGACAGAAAAACAAACCTGACAAACTGCAGAAAAGGAAGATGTAGCTGGCAGAAGTGCCAGAGCGAAGCAGGTAGATGGCTGGTGTGGGAGCCCTACAGTGAATTGAGATGGGTTAGACTTCATCCCAGGAACATCTGGAAGCCCATAGGTGGTTTTAAGCAAGTTGGTAACTTGGTCTTGCTAAGGCTCCTTTTGAAAAATGAATTGGACAAGGACAGAGGTTGGAATAGGAAGACCAGTTTAGCCAGTTCTTTCCCCAGACAAAAGATGGTGGTGGTTTGGATTAGCACAGAGGCCATATGTATGAAAAAGTGAGTAGATCTGAGAAAACTGGTGGGAAGAAAATTTCACAGGACTTTAAGACTGTTTGGATGTAAAGATGAGGTTGGGAGAGGAGAAGCAAAGGGTTCCACCTGGGTGTCTGGCATGAGTGAGTAACTGGATGGCAATACCACATATGAGAGACCAGAGAAGACAAGGGGAGAAGTATGGGTGAAAAGGAATGATGATGTTGGGGATCTATGTGAATCTTTAGTCCCCAGGGGGCATCTAAGGGGCAGTTGGAAGGTTAAGCCAAGGCACACAAGAGAGAGGTGCCTAGATACACACATTTATGAATGTACACAGATCGCGTTTTAAGCTGTAAGAAGGGGTAAGTTTACTGAGGGAGTGAGTATAAAAGGAAGTGATATAGACATACCTATCATCTGTCTCCACTAGGAGCTTCCACTTCCACTATCCAATCTGGGAGCCATAGCCATAGCCATGTGTGGCTATTAACATTCCCATTCAAATAATTAAAATTAAATACAATTAAATATTCAGGCTTCAGTCATACAAGCCATATTTCAAGAGCTCAGTAGCCATGTGGCTAGTGGCTTCCATAATGAACTCACAGATTATGGACCATTTCCCTCATCACAGACAGTTCTATTGGTCAGTGCTATCTAGACTCAACATTGTATTTATTTTGTATCTACGATGCTCAGGCACTTAGAAGAAAAAGTGCAATTCTTTCAACTATAGACATTTAAGAAGTAAACAGGCAGCCACCTGCAGGCATAAAGGTCAGAAAAGGAACCCCACTGAGCTCCTCAGAACCCTTCAAATGCATGATTGACCTTGCACTGGGTCTCCACCTTACCCACACTGGCCATGCTCCCCTGACTAGGAGGGAGGATGTGAGCAGATGGGGCTCTTCAAGCATGAAGAGGACTCTGCATGTTTGTCTGCTTCACTCTTACTTCTTGCTGGGTCCATAGGCAATAGCACATGTGCATTTGAGTAAGTAAAACCTTTAGGTTACAATTCAAAATTACAGTGAGAGATTAAAGGTCTTCACCAAAAATCAGATATTGAATTTTGCATTTCTGAAAATAGTTCTGAATTTTCATGAGTGTTTAGTTTTTGCTTTTGCTCTTGTTTTTCATATTTATTGTGTGTATACCTTTGTTCTTTATTTTTCAGTCAGATGTCATGGATCAAAATTTATTAAATTTCCTTCCAGAACAAGAACATTCAGAAGTTTATAAGATGCTCTCTTCCCATGTGCTTGTGACAGATTCCCCCTCCCCAGGATACTTAAAATGTAAGTTTAACTTCACCAGTTTTACCATGTACAAAGATAAAAATTTTAGTGTTCAAAGGTTAGATAAATTAAGAAGGGAGGACTAATTTTAAGAATAATTTTCCTTGTGACTCAGAACATATCCAAGACCCTCAGCAGTATATTTTAAGATTAGAGCTACAACTGGAGTTTGGAATATGTAAGACATTTAATTTTTATACAGAAAATTTGACACTTCTGGCTAAGAAGGAGGCATAGGTAGACACACTTTGCAGCAGCTTGCTGAATGGGCAGTCCCACATTTGCCTGCAGATAAACCAGGAGGAACAACTGAGGAGCAAGACAGGGTTCCAGTGTGGGGAAATAGAGCCTTAAAATCTCTGATTGAAAAAAATCCTGTGGGGGTTGAGGCAGCAGGAGATACTCCCAGCCTCACAGGAGAATTCACTGGAGAGACCCACAGGGTCCTAGAATATCACAAAACCACCCACCAGGGAATCAGCACCAGAAGAGCCCAGTTTGTTTGTGGGTAGTTGGGAGTGACTGAAAGCCAGCTGAGAACTGAGCAAGAGGCATTGTTCCCTCTCAGGCCCCTCCCCCACATACAGTGCCACAATGCAGTGACCTGAGTTGCCCGACCCTGGTGAACACCTAAGGCTCTGCCCCTAACTACATGACAGGCACACAGAGACAAAAAAAATATGGCCCAAGTGAAAGAACAGATCAAAGCTCCAGAAAAAAATACAACTAAGTGAGGAAGAGATAGCCAACCTATCAGATGCAGAGTTCAAAACACTGGTAATCAGGATGCTCACAGATATGGCTGAGTATGGTCTCAAAACACAGGAAAAAGTGAAGTCTATGAAAAGTGAAATGAAGGAAAATATACAGGGAACCAACAGTGAAGGGAAGGAAACCAGGACTCACAGTCAACAGTTTGGAGCAGAAGGAAGAAATGAACATTCAACCAGAACAGAATGAAGAAACAAGAATTTTTTAAAAAATGAGGAGAGGCTTAGGAACCCTCTGGGAAACTTTAAACGTTCCAACATCTGAGTCATACGGGTGCCAGAAGGAGAAGAGGAAGTGGAAGACCAAGAAATCAAAATCCTATTTGAAAACATAATGGAGAACTTCCCTAATATGGCAAGGGAAATCAACTTCCAGAAGGTCCAGGAAGCCCAGAGAGTCCCAAAAAAAGGTCGACCCAAGGAAGCACACACCAAGGCACATCATAATTACATTAGCCAAGATTAAAGACAAGCAGAGCATCTTAAAAGCAGCAAGAGTTTTCTCTTGGAGACAGTTACCTACAAGGGAGTTCCCATAAGACTATCAGCTGATTTCTCAAAAGAAACAATGCAGGCAAGCAGGGGCTAGAAAGAAGTATTTGAAGCCATGAAAGGCAAGGACCAACATCCAAGATTATTCTACCCAGCAAAGCTATCATTTAGAATGGAAGGGCAGATAAAGTGCTTCCCAGATAGTCAAGTTAAAGGAGTTCATCACACCAAGCCCTTATTATATGAAATGTGAAAGGGACTTATCAAAGGAAAAGAAGATAGAAAAAATTCAAACAGTAAAATGACAACAAACTCACAACTATCAACAACTGAACCTAAAAGAAGACAAAACAAACTAAGCAAACAACTAGAACGGGAACAGATTCACAGAAATAGAGATCACATGGAGAGTTATCAGTGGGGAGGTGGAAGGAGAATGGGGGAAAAGGTACAGGGAATAAGAAGCATAAATGATAGATACAAAATAGGAGGAGGTTAAGAATAGTATGGGAAATGGAGAAGTCAAATAACTTGTATGTATGACCCATGGACATGAACTAAGTCGGGGCAGTGATGGTGGGAGGGGGGATACAGGGCTAAGGGGAAAAAGGGGAGAAAAAATGGAACAACTGTAATAGCATAATCAATAAAATATATTAAAATAAAAAAGAAATAATTAAAAAAAGAATTTGAAAGCTAGAGTTTAGGAATAATAAATTGTTTTACATATAGTGCAAGAGATTTCTTTTTTCACATGAGGGTCTTTTAGTAATAAACAGTGCAAAAATCAGCAGTCTGCTTATTTTGGAGGACAATTTAATGCTAGATTTGTATGATACCAAATAACCAGCCTAAAACTGAATAATTAGGTCAGAAATCCAAATTTTCTTCTCCCTAGTCTGTTATTAGATAATTTATACACATTTGCAGTTTGTATGGTGCTTCTAAGTTTTTAAACTGGCACCTGGCTACAAGTCTGGCCTTGGTGTCTGCTGAACCATTTGTCACTTAATGAAGCAGATACACTGATGGAGGTACTGAAGCTGCCTTGTGCTTGTTCAAGCCTTTGTCCATTTTCCATGAAGAATTTATCCTATTGTTCATCTGATTTTACCTCAGAGAAAAGCAAAAAAGATTAAATTAAATGCTGCAGTTCTGTATGAGCTGCATTATTTTAATATACCCCCTGAAAACAAGTGGCACTAATTAATGCTGGCATAACCAACCAGACACCTGTGAGCAAAGACAATTAATTGGGTTCAAGTATGGAATGCAATATATCTGTAAACTATGGGGTGGAACCTATGGTGCAAAGGTTACAATACCATGTCCAAAAGTCAATCACAATTAAAGAAATATTCTCACCATGTGAGTTTCACAAGGATGTGACTTGTTTAGTTTACATTGTATAATGCTCATGTTCTCTTTCTCTCCCTTTTCCTTAATGACACAGCTGACAATGATTTGGAGTTTTATTGCCATCTTCTCAGAGGCGGCTTGAACCCAAAGGAATTTCCAACTTATGAATACATAAAATTTGTAGGAAATTTTCGCTCTTACAATGGTAAGCTTTACTTGTTATGTAATCACACCAGCATCTTTTATCATACAAATATGCACATAGGGACATAAGAATCCATGGAGGAAGGAAGCAAGAGATTCTGTGCTTTACATGTTTGCATTTGGATTTTTCATCCCCAAGATGTGTTTTTTTTGTGCTTGTAAATGTTATTTTCCATTAGAGAGGAACACACTTCCACACCTGTTTATATCAGTGTGCAAAGTCCCACTGAAATGTACATTATTCATTTATTTACTTGCAGGCTGATGGAATAGTTCTACTGTGGGAAATAATTGACAGTTAATATATAAGAGGCTTGGCCGACAAACAGCCAAACAGGGCTTCATTGTGACATGATGATCCATAACCTTGCTTTCTACAATTTTACAATTTTACCACCCTTCCTACACTGCTGTGAGCATATTTTAATAACTCTGGTCCTTAGGCCTGTGCTCATCTACACTGGATGAACTGCCAAGCAGGATAGGTTAAGTGGTAAAGCTGTCCTTTCTGAAATTACCCAAGCAAATAATTGTGTAAGCGCTTGGTGCATCTCCAAACCAGACTTAAACATTCAGTTTTACTTTTGACGCCTGCAAAATGGGAATGCAGACCTGATGCCAGAAACTAAGAGACACATGTCCCACCACACGGCCCTGCTGTGGAACCTAGCACAGGCTGACCTGCCTTTTGTTTGTCTCATACTCTGAAACTCAAAACAAATAACTTTGAAAGATCAAGCATTTCATAAAACAGCAGAGATGGGAAAAACCAGAAGGAAGTGTTGACAGGGAATGGTAGAAAGAAGAAAGGAGGAAAAATATCAAAGGAATACATACAGAAAGATGAACCTCAGAAAGGAGAAGGTAGGTAGGCAGGTGAAAGGCATGAGGGAATTGATGGCAGTGCTCACTTGTGCTCCTTGATTACTGTTGTTTAAGTCTGGGTCCATTGTCAAGTTCAGTTATCACAGTCAGATTAGTCCCAACGTTTCCATGGCACCAAGTCCTAATATTGGGGCAATAAGAAGTTTTTCCTCCAGCTTTGGAGACTCCTTTGTTATATGTTATTTGCATAAAATATACTTACTTTGTTTAAAAGGCTGTAACTAGTGCTAAGCAGCATGATCCTGCCAAAGCAATTTCCAGGCCGTGTTCAGCATTTATGCCTGGATGATAGGCTCCATGGTCAACTTGGATCTCTTCTGCCTGAGTGGTTGGGATCCACCACTCAGTGTTGGAAGGTCTTCTTCCCCAAGTGGGTCCCTAAATCTGAGCAAAACAGATGAAGCCAAGGCCTGACCATGCTAAAGTGACTTATCTAAAGGCTCTCCCAAATCTTCTTAGATGATTGTTCAGTGAACCACACCAGCAAAGTAAATGGTAGCTCGTTTGGCTACCAGATAAAGAGGGTGACCTCATAGAATACCCAACATGATGCCAGCCCAGGTACAGTAGGTAATGGGGTGAGGCAGCTATGAAAATGCATGTTGTTAGTGTTATCAAATGCCTCCAGTTCAGAAGACCTGAGGGTGAGTCTGGGATTGCATAGTTGGAAAAGAACCATGGGGTCATGGACTTGGAGAAATACTGTGCTATCATGATACTAAATGCCATTCCATAGGAATTTCTGTGACACTCCTCTTGCTTATGGTACCCTTTCCAGACAACTTTGTCCTTGAGTTAAAATAAGCAGTGATTTGGAATTTTCTTGAAGCATGAGCTGTGGCCACAAGTAATGCCAGCTGTTGGGAGAGCAGCATATCTCAAGTAGCTTCATGCACAGAAGGGAAAGGATGCTGCTCCCACGTGTCCCCATGACAACTGTGCACACTCTTAATTAAAGGAACCATCCCATGATTGCTGGTGAGCAGCAGTTCTGTCCTTTGTAAATTTCCATTCCCTCAACTCTCTAAGATGCTGTTGAATATCACTTTGAACCTTCCTGTCATTGATCACTTTTCAGAGGGTTTCAAGGAAATAGTCAGGCTTCATTATGAATACCTGGGATTTTTTTTAATTAACTAACAAGGCTTTATTTCTACCTCAAGTTAAGACAATGTTTGTTTGCCTGAAAGAATATGTGGAAATTATGTGTGATTTTATTTTTGGAGACTGTTACTGCTATAAACACACATTATTGGAAGTGGAAAATTTAAAGTCAAGAGTGAAAAGTAACTTTCCAGAGCCTGTTGAACAAACCAAAATTAGCAGGGGTTTTGTTGAGACAAGAATCTCTCAATGTAATTGTGGAAAACATGAAATATAACTTGAATTATAATAGATAAGAAAAAGCATCAGAGAGACAAATGAATTGCTAACATGGAGCCCTATGAAATCACCAAAAATCAACCATTTTTAACCTATAACATATGGTTTAATATAATAGAAAAAATAATAATTCAAATTTGATTTTGTAGGCTCACTTCTCAATAAACATTGAACAATTGGTTTAAAAAAATAGCTCATCAGGGGGATTTCTTTAGTACCAGGCCCTGGGCTCAGTCTTTGCCTTGATCATCTCATTGAATCCTCACAAGAACCTTATGAAATGGTACTATTGGCATTGTCTCTTCTTAACAGTAGAGGAAATTGATGCATAAGAAAGTGAAGTCAGAGGTGCGTAGGTAGGAAGAGGGACCCACATTTATACCAATTCTAACCTTGAACTCATGCTTAGGCCCAGTGTTTTGCTGCCTTCCACAAATCTGTGTTGAAATTAAATATCCAGATGCACAGCACAGACCTGTCCCTTCCCTGGAATTGGTATAAAATGTCTATACCTGTGTACAACAGGTATCCTATACCCACATACCAAGATGTTTTGAGGATATCAAATATAATAAGGCATGCCGACATGGCAATGGTCATCATGAAGGAAGAGATTTATGTGCACAGATCCAGCAGGCACAGTACATCATGCAGGGTCACATAGGGAAGCATCAGCATAGGTTAAATGGAGGAGGAGCAGAAAAAATACAAAGAGCCTCTATTGTGGCTTCTGCTGGAAAGCACAGGCAAGGCAGGGTTAGCAGGTTTAGAATTGTCTCATGTGCCTAATTTCAGGGCTTTGTGCTATAGAAGCTGCCCAGAGTAGTCCAGGTTGTCCAGTTCTAACCCTGGAGTAATCACTTTAGGGCAGGGGGATAGTATGAAAGCCAGAAGGGAGAGGGGGTGGTTAGGATCTGCATTGGTTGGTTTCCATATGAAAAGTACACTGGAAGGTGAGTTGTTTAGTATCCCTAGGAACTGACTGACCCTGAGAGGAGCAGTCCCTCCAGGGTCAGCAAGTCCCCAAATGTTGAAGCACCAAATACAGAACTAAAAATCGTGATCATTACACAAGCCAACCCATGTAACATCCTCAAGTTCCCATGCATGGCACAAGTTTAAAAACAATATGCAAAGTGTGGAAGAAAAATGATCATGAACACTGGTTTTATTTAAATAGAATGCCTGTTCACATATCAAATAACTATGTAGGAAACCCAAATTTGGTCCATTACTATGAAAAATATTTCATTTCTTTTTTTTTAATTTTATTTTAATCATTGTTCAAGTACAGTTTTCTCTCTTTTACTCCATATCCAGCCCACCCACCCAACCCTCCTCTCTTCCCTCCCATTACTACCCTCCCCCTAGTTTTTGTCCATGTGTCCTTTAAATTTGTTCCTGTAAACCCTTCCCATTGTCCCCTGAAATTCCCTTTTCTCTCCCCTGTGGTCAATGTCAGCCTGTCCTCTGCTTCAGTGTCTTTGGTTATATTTTGCTTGTTTCTTTGTTTTGTTGTTTAGGTTCCTGTTAAAGGTGAGATAATATGGTATTTGTCTTTCACTGCCTGGCTTGTTTCGCTTAGCCTAATGCTTTCCAGCTCCATCCAAGCTGTTGCAAAGGGTAGGAGCTCCTTCTTTCTTTCTGCTGCATAGAATTCCATTGTGTAAATGTACGATAGGTTTTTGATCCATTCATTTACTGATGGGCATCCAGGTTGCTTCCAGCACCTAGCTATTGTAAATTGTGCTGCTATGAACATTGGGGTGCATAGGTTCTTTTGTATTGGTGTTTTAGTGTTCTTAGGATAAAGTCCCAGCAGTAAAATATTTCATTTCTATAGAGCTGTTTAGTTTATGTATTATTACCTGGTGTATTCTTACTTGGTGCTTACCAAGATATGAGGCTCTTATTTTTATAAAAAATGGCATGGTGAAGAGAGCAGCCTTCAATCTGTTCATTGCAGCCCTTCCTGGGTCCATGCAGTTTTTCCCTGGCACACAAATAAGCACTCAACACAATACGTTGACCTAGACAGAGACTTGGAAAACTTGGCCCTGACACACAGGTGATGGAGACAGAGCCACAATTCAGACCAAGAACTTTCAGCTCAGGGAAATCATTGTCTTCCTCAGGAGGTGATAACAGAGCCATCCTTGACTGACCCCCAAGCACACTCCAGGAACTTAGTGGTGTCTTCCAGGAGTGCTCCTGCTACTTCTTTGACTTTAAATGTGAAGTAAAGATTAAATTCACATTGGTAAGTGCTGGGTAAACTGAAGCCTGACTTACTTCCTGTGCCTTGTGAATAGTCTACACTGGAAGACCTCCTGAGCACCAATGTGTGGTCAGGAACATTTCACCCTTAGCCTCCATTCACTTCCCATTCTGTACTCCCACCCTCCTCTGGGTGTTCCCTAATATCCTTACCCAGGCCCCTATAGAACAGTACCTGACATTTTCTTCCCAGCCTAGAAGCTCCTCTGATCAACCAATTTGGCCCAAGGCCAAAAGAGGCCCTTGCTGCTGCTAAAATTCACATTTATAGGAATTCTCAGGCTTTAAAACGAAGGGGCCAATATGAAATGTAGAGGTTTCAGGGTAGGGAAGAGAGGGCAAGACCAAGCCAGAGAGGGTGTTTGGTGACAAGTAAATCACATAGATGAAGACCCCATCTGCTTACCTGCTGACCCAGATAACTAAGTGCTCAGGTTTTAGCTGGCTCTGTTTCCA